AGCGCGCGCACTTAACCGCTAAGCCACAGGGCCGGCCCTATACACATTTTATAAAAGAGGAAACAGAGACTCAAAGAAATAGCCTGCAATAGCTGTTCCACAAAATGACAAGAAGGGACAGGTGAAATGGATTCTCCAGGCGTGCAAAGGACTAGCATCTAACAAATGAAAGCTCCAATCCCCTAAAAAGATTCATTTATTCACTAGATATGCTTTGGCATTCAGTAGGAATTCTACATCTTTATATCAGCCTGTTTCCAAAGAACTAAGAGTTGTCTTTTATAAAAACCACACACAAATATATACACATATTCATATAGACTCACACAGACACACACACACATGGTCTCTCTCTCTCAACGTATGTTTACCTCTTCCTCAGGTTTTAGTGGTTTTCTCTTGGTTGGGCAGAACCCCAGTTGGCACAGGCCTGCAGCAATATCCCCAAAATGGCGGCAGAAAATCAAGCTCCCCAGAGATGCATGCTGAGCAACATTTAGGAGGACCCTGCAACTGGTGTACAGTCTCCGGGTTGCATCCGGGGCAACATCAAGACATACCACATCTTGAACAACAGCCCCGAACTCCGTCCTATATCTCAAAGGGACTCCAACACCAGGCATGAGATAGGGGCAGACACCCAAGGTGACTACAAACTGCAAGACTGACTGGACAGTCTTCTGCTGTGAGATACTAAGTGTATCTGGGCTCAGAGCAGGAGCAGCTTCTGGAGTCCTAGGGTTGGGTTTACCCGGATTGAAATCAGCTGCAAGGTGGATCATGGTTTCCTTCAAGCACAACAGCAACAGTAAGGTTTGAGAGGTAAAACTCCAGGTGACATCCACAGAATTTTGTGCCCATTCTGCCTTATTAGCAATTTCATCCCTTAGGAGTTTCAATTTCTTCCAGTGAGGATCCTTCAGCAATTTGTCCTCCAAAGCAGACAGGTTAGATTTTAAAGTAGCCAACAAGATATCATGTTTTGTGATCTGCAGTGAACTTGAGCCTGATCCTTTTGAAGAAAAAAAAGAGGTTATATACATGGAAAACAAATTGCACTTCCCTCTGCGTGGAATGCCTTGCCTACTCCGGTTCATCCTCTGAGGCCTGGCTCAGATGAAATTGCCTCTGGAAAGCCTCCCCCAATTTTGCCACACCAGCCCAGGCAGAATTCAAGACCACATTTCCTGCCTTCCCATAGCACTTGGGATGTAGTCAGAATAGTGTACCTAACACATTATACTTCATCTAGTTTGTTCTATTCCCCTCGTGTTCTGAGGGCAGAGGCCATGTCTTAGTCATCTTACTGGGCTTAAACTATAGCCAGAACAGAAATTTTAACAGTTGAACATTGACCACAGGAGATTCTTTCAGTCAAACTGTTCTAGGTGCGAGGTATAAAGCATTGAACAAAACAAAGTCCTTCCCCCATGGAACTTACATTCTAGTGAGGCAGATGACAAAATATAGCTATAGGGTTCAGAGAGATTAATTTAATCACATTCCTCCAAAACAGGGATTCTCAATTTTTCCCGACCTTTCCTAAAATGGTCTTTACTGCCCTCTACTGGTGAAGGAGTTCTTATACACTCTCAGCAGTGGACATGCATGAGGACTCCCTCCTCGAAACACTCTCCTCTCTTGGCTTCTGGAACACTGCTCTTTCTCGGTTTTCCTCCTACCTTAAAGGCCATCTCTTCGAGGTCTCCTCTGCTAGCTCCTTTTCCTCTACCAGTTATCTAAATGCTCCAGGGCTTGTCCTGAACTCTGCATTCTCTTCCTCCATAATCTTATTCATGCCCAGGTCTTTAAAAACCATCTATAAGCTAACAACTCCCAAATTCATATCTCCAGCCCATGTCTACCCTCTAAGTTCCAGAGATATATTTCCAACTGCTACATGAAATCTCCACCTGGATGTTTCTTAGGCATCTCAAATTCAACACATTCAAAATAGAACTCTTAAGACCCCGAATAGCTAAAGGAATCCTGAGAAAAAAGAACAAAGCTGGAGGTATCACACTCCCTGATTTCAAAATATACTACAAAGCTATAGT